ACAGATACCAAATCATAAAATCCATTTACAAATATTTAAGTAAGTAAACACATAAATCAGAGTATTGTTGAAGAGTAACATGTTCCCTAAGTTTTGTCTTGGACTCAAGACAAACAAGAATATGAAATTGGCATATTGACACTACAGGACAAAAGGCTCAGCAAGTTAACTGCCATTGGCTGAGGCACTGCAATGCAGAAATTTTGAACTATAGGCTCTCCAAGCTACCAGGTAAAACATTTAAACATAATCCTTTTGTCTGCAGAGAACAGGCCCCTGTGTATGAACATGTATCTTTTTGACAAAGGGTAAGTATGAGACATGGTAATAAACTGAGCAGCAGATTAATAGAGGAGAACCAATGCAGACTTGCCAAAAAACAATTTCTACTTGACTAACCTGAATGCATTCTTTGACAAAGATAGCTGATTATGGCAAATGCATTTGCCATATTTATGGATTTTGAAAAGATCCTTCCCAAAGTACCACATGTATTTAAGCTGAAGCTAGATAAGCATGAGGGTGGAAATATCATGTTGATAGAAGTAGGTAGAGAGAGAGCAAAAGGAGGTTTATTTGGAACATAACCACCAGCATTTACCAGTTGAGCAGACTGGCTTGTCTAGGCACTACAACCCTATTAATATAACTCGATAATAGGTAAGTCAGTAAAATTAACAGATTTAAAAGGACAGTGGCTGGTGGATACAAAATTTACCAAGGGACAGAAAGCAAACAGTAATGGTGACTGTTGTTTGTCAAAGCTAGAAGGAGATATTGTGTTCTCTGGGGATCAGTACAAGAACCACACTGCTTGATGAACTGGACAGGAAAGATACAGCACAATGTCAAAATTTACAGATGACATTAACTCAAAAATATTGCTTTGTTTTGAATCAATTTACATTTGATTCTGGTGTTTACACTGCTAATTTAATGTTGGTGTAAGACAGAAATCGCAATGCATCAATATACCTTTCCTGTGCTCCTCCCACCCTGAAAACAGCACTGAGGTGTGACATTTCCCACAACAATTCGTGTGAGAGAGCTGACTGAGATTGACATACTAGTATTTGGTAAAACAAACAAGGGAAAGCTTATTCAATTAATGGTTGGGCCCTGGGTGGTGTTACAGAACAGTGACCTAGTGTGAACAGAGTGTGTGATAACAAGGTGTAGAGCTGGATGAACACAGCAGGCCAAGCAGCATCAGAGGAGCAGGAAAGCTGACGTTTCCGGCCTAGACCCTTCTTCAGAAATGGGAGAGGGGAAGGGGGTTCTGAAATAAGTAGGGAGACAGGGGGAGGCAGATAGAGGATGGATAGAGGAGAAGATAGGTGGAGAGGAGACAGACAGGTCAAAGAGGCGGGGATGGAGCCAGTAAAGGTGAGTGTAGGTGGGGAGGTAGGGAGGAGATAGGTCAGTCCAGGGAGGACAGACAGGTCAAGGAGGCGGGATGAGGTTAGTAGGTAGGAGATGGGGGTGGGTGTGGGACCACGTCCTGAAGAACAGAGTGTGTGTGTGTGTGTGTGTGTGTGTATGTGTGTGTTGAGAGTGACCTAGGGGTTTAGGTACATAGTTCTTTGAAATTTGCATTACAAGTCGATAGGATGGTTAAGAAGGCACTTAGCATGCTTATCTTCGTTGCTCAGACCTTTCAGTATAGGAGTTGAGACGTCATGTTGCGGTTGTACAGGACTTTGGTGTGACGATGCTGTCACTTTAAAAACGTTATTTTGTCCTGGGTTTTTCTGATGAGAGGTTGCAAAGGCCAAGGTGACAAGGTGTCTAGGTTTAAGAGGCCTTTAGGTTTTTTTTAATAACAGTTTAACAATGGAAGGGGAGTAGACAGTTCTTCCAGTTCAGGCTTTCTAGTTTTTTTCAAGCTGTAGCAGTCACAAGATGTTCGAGTCCAGAAGGGTTGCAAACTTCAGTAAGTGATTCCTAACTGACTTTCTCTGAAATCTCTCTGGGTGTTGTTCCCTCCTGTCTGTAAGAATCTGTGTTTGAATTTACCTTTTTGCCAACTGGTGTGTTTATGTGATGTTACTATATTGGAAGAGTTAATTAGTCAACTATTGGAAAACTTAACCAAATACTTAAGTTATTGTAAATTCTGCTTTTTTTTTTGCTCGTGTTTTAGCTGTAGCTTTAAATAAATTATGTTTTGCTTAGTGCTGAGTGGTTTGACAAGTTAGGGTCTAGGCTACCTTCTTAAAATATTTTGAGGGGGGGCGTCTGGCCTGATCCATAATATTGGTGAGGTCTTCTCTGGAGAACTGTGGGCAATTCTGGTCGTCCTGCTATAGGAAGGATATTATTAAATTGAAGAGGGTTCAGAAAAGATTTACCAGGATGTTGCTAGGAATGGAGGTTTGAATTGTTGAAATAGGCTGGGACATTTTTCACTAGAGCACTTGAGGTTTAGGGGTGATCTTACAGAGATTTATAAAATCATGAGGTACATAGACAAAGTGCAGAGCAAGGGTCTTTTCCCTACCGTGGGAAGTTCAAAACTAGGGGGATATTTTTAACGTGAAAGTTTCAAAAAGATATGGGAGCAACTTTATTTTTTACAAAATGTGGTTTACGTGTGGAATGAACTGCCAGAGGAAGTGATAGTTGCGACATTTAGAAGACATTTGTATAAGTAAATGAATAAGATAGATTTGGAGGGATATGGACCAATGCAGCCAAGTGAGACTAGCTTAGTTTGGGAACATGGCCGGCGTGAACTAACTAGACCAAAGGGTCTGTTTCCATGCTGTATGGCTCCAGTGCTATATGATGTTTCTAGCATATGGACCTGAGTTAATACTATCCCATCTGCATTTATATTGGACTCTTCATACCAGTTGTTAGAAAAAAGGGAGGGCAGAAACAAACTTTCGCAAAACATCAACTGGTGAAATGTGAAGACCCATTTCAGATTAACTTGATGCAGAGAAGTGCAAATGGCACATTTTGGTAGGGAGCATGACAAAAGGCAATAAGTGACAATTGTAAAGGGGTGCAGGAACAAAAACCTGGGGTATACAAATGTTTGAACAGTGTACAAGTTGAAAAGGCAATGAAGAAAGCATATGGGGTCCTTGGCTTTACTAAGAGAGAAATAAAGCCTGCTGGAAGTAGGGAGTTAGAATAAATTGTAGGCTGAAAGCTGCAGTATCGTGTTCAATTCTAAAAATCACATTTTAGAAAAGATGTCAAGGCCTTGGAAGAAGTACCGAAGATATTTATTCGAATGGTACCATTGATGAAGGACTTAGTAATGTGTACATGTGAAAAACAGAGACTATTTTGCCGAACTACCAAACTAAAGCTGCGACCATTTGAAACACAGCTGAAAGATACAACAATAGTCTTAATGAAAGCACTTCTTACTGTTAATGATCATGCATTTTAAGAAATACAGCTGCTCTAAAAGCATCCAGAAGTTTCAGAGCCATAAATTGTGCAAGAAGATTATTTAGCAGCATCTTCAAGTGTACACATGAAACTTTATTCAGCAAGACTAAGATACTTTCAATAAAAATGGAAAGAACTGTGCTGTAAATCAGCAACAGAAACAGAAATTGCTGGAAAAGCTCAGTGGGCCTGGCAACATCTGTGGAGAGAAATCAGCTGACATTTTGGGTACAGAGACTTTCTCTTACTAAGCAAAATTACCAAAAATTAAAATGCAGAATTACAAACTCTCAATACTCAAGAATGCAACTATATATCTGCAACCAAGTCCAAAAAATCATTAACATAAGATGAACATGAAGAGAAAGAAAACTTGAAGTTAGAACTTACCAATCACAAAATCAGCATAAGAGCAATGTTCTGCTGTTTCATCTAACTTCCTTGATTTTGAGAGAATGCAGAATAAGAACAGCACACATCAAAACAATTTGAACTAATGCTCTTTAGAAACATTTGTACAGGTAAGATTGACCAAAAATATTGCTTAGATCAGCTGCATTTGCATGCAGAGTGCAAAGTTCATACTGATCTTATAATAATTCTCATTTTTATTGCTTAACTTGGCATTCTTTAGCTTCAGTTCTAAATGATCAAACATTTTGCCACTTTTGTCATCCTTTATTAGTGTGCTTTACTAGCACTCCCAAGTTAGATTTTTGGCAGCTTGACCCTTGCAAACCACTAGGCAACATAAGTAACTGCTTACCATTTCCTATCTCTAGCAACCAATGCACAAAAGGTAATTCAAATTATTTTCTATTAACAAAAGTTATTTTTAAATGTTTCAACTATAAAAGCAGTGAGTGCAATTAGTAAATCTCTTCTCCAATCCTTGAGGCTTAAACATGAGATTTGGTCATTTTGGAAAGTTATTGTGGAAATTTAAAGACAGTTTTGAATCCCAGTCTCAAGCAGTATACAAATCAACTCTGTCCACTAGATGGTAACACGCTGGCTTTTAATGAGGAACTTGATACAGCAGCTAATCGAAGATCAACATGTAACATTTGAGGATAAAAATTGGAAGGCAATCTGTTGTTAACAGTCAACAAGCAGAACAATTTATAATCCGACCGTCGCAGCTAAGCAAGGTATGCAGATGCTAGAAAAACAGAAGCATTCGTTTACAAAATTAAGAGATATAACGAGGGAGCATAAAGTGGGCCTTTTTTAAAAAGCATTTTATAGCATGTACAAGGAATCTGCAGCATTTCATTACACCTGATCATCCATATTCTTGCAGGAAGATGTCAGCGTGCTTTTTTGAAAGCATTTGACATTAAATAATGAATCCAACGGCGAAAGCATATTGCTTAGACTGGTGTTTCTCATCAATAATTTACTTCCACTATTGCAACTTGTACTCAACTATATTATTCGATCTTTACATGCAATACAAAACAGCCATCTGACTGCAGGGTCATATTTACCAGAATTCCCCATGTGCTTATTTAAACATCAACATTCTTCATTTGTAAAATGAACCAAACTAATTAAACCAAGCATGGCATCAAAAACACCCACAACCCAAATACTGAAGAAACATATTTTATTTATTGATGCAAATACGATATAACAGCATATCTTTTCTAAACTGCTGTCAAAGCAGAATTCAGCATGTTACATTAAAATTTGTTACAATTTTTAAAAGATCCAATCCTTAGTTAACAGATGGCTACCAGGTGGAGTCAAAACAGCAATTGAATAACCTTTTGGTTGAAGATCATCTTTCACTAACTCCATTATACAGATGATTAACAAAATGATTTTAAGATATCAATCTTTACAGTGGTCAAAATGAGATGATACAGTGCAGGAAAATAGGCAATGTAAGGCAGCAAAGAAGCTGGTAAACAGTGCCCTGATGACTTGTATACTTAAATTTCGGCTATTCCCCACTCAACAGTCTCTACAAAAAATTATTTTAACAATCAAATCTAAAGTGAATTGGAAATGTATCACTGTCTAAGAGATTCGACTGATGTAAATAAATTATCCATTGAACTGGCTTTCTGCAATGCTGAAAAAGGAACAAAATCAGTACAGTTTGCACCCAAGAACTTGAACATGATAGAAAACAGCAAATAAGTCCAAACTTCATTCAGGATCTGTTGGCTTAGTTGTCTGTTGTACGGTAAATAACCTCTTGCACCAAATGCATCACCTGCTGCAGGTATAGGTCGAAACTACTGAACCACTTGGACATGTACTAAGAGTTGGAAAGACTGGGGGATTCAGCCTAGTTTTGCAGATCTGTTCAAAATCGGTCTGCGAGTGTATTTGTCAATACAGTAACAAAATATTTTGTGATCCGTACTACATGGTTGTAACGTGGTTTTATTCCGATGAATACTGCAGTCACCAGAAAGCATATAAACTTCAAAACAGTTCAGATTGCGAAGATGCCTCTTAGCCGAAGATATAACTTTGACTCGTTGAACAGAAGAACAAATGGATAAGATGACAGTGATGCACCTCAGTGAGACACCCTTTCTGCCCATCATTATCTAACTAAATGGAAAGGAAGCGAACACAGTATAATAAATTCTAAACACTTGAAAATCCAAATTAAGCATTGGGAGCACTTTGTAATGTAAATTTGTATTTCCTATGAAGGACAGATTACTTAAAGCCTTCGAAAAAGGTTAAAGAAGACATTCTAACAGCCACAAGGTGATTTTGTCCCCAAGCTACATATATTCAGAGTAGTATCTTCTGAAAAAGAGAGGATAACATTCTAGTTCACTTCAGTACATTTTTGTCACTTGCAGTATACTGAAATTTTCTAGGAGCAAAAATAATCTCAACCCTGTTGGAAAATGAAAGTTAATTTGCATTTATTTTTGCGAACACAACCTTTTCCAGCATTAAGGTACCATTTTTCAGGCTGTCTTGTGACTTACTTGAAATCTAGCTTTAGTGAATTTTCAAGTTGAACTAATTTCATGCTGTCTGAGGAAGGAGAGATAAAACGTGTTTTTACTTTAATCCAAATGGGAATTTACAACGCCTTGAGCAAACACTGCAACAACATAGCTGAATTTTAAAGTGCTCTAAATTGATTTGGTTGATCACCAAAGTGGGCTTCTCCATTCATGTTATGATGAAGAAATACGAAATTTATAAATGTATATGGATAGGTTACGCGAATGGGCCAAAATTTTGGCAGATAACATTTAAAGGTGGATAAATGTGAAGTATCCATTTTGGTCAGAAGAATAGAAAGGGAACTTATTATCTAAATGGAGAGAAACTTTAAGAGTGCTTTGGTGCAGAAGCATCTGGGTGCCCTTGTGCATGAATTACAGAAAAATATAGGAAGGAAAATGATTTTTGGCATTCATTGCTAAAGGAATAGAACATAAAAGTAGAGATGTAGTTGTATGAAGTGATGGGATGCAGTTCAGTGGACAAGCTTCTCTCTCAAAGGATTGTGAATCTGTGGAATTCATTACAATAGGGTGCAGTGATATTAAGTAAATTTAAGGAGGAGACTGATTTTCAATGAGTAATGGTTGAAGGGTCATGGAGTGTGGTCAGGAAAGTGAGTTGAGAACAAGATGAGATCAGGCACAATCATTTTAAATGGTGGAGCAGGCTCAAAGAGATGAATTGTCTACTCCTGGACCTACCTCCTATGTTCTTATGTCATCATCAGTTGATCAGACGCCTAACATTTTTACTGGTCTTGTATTCTGCTGAATGGACAATTCAGGCCAAGAAGAATTTTGTCCTGCAGATCTGTTAGAGACTGAGTCAAAAACAAGATGCTCAGTCTTCCCAATGTACCAGAGATTTGTTTTGCATCACTCTTTGTAAATGGAATTGAAGCAAAGCATCTTTTGTCTCTCAGACAGCACTCAATTGCTTCAACTTGCAAGATCACTAACATTATACATTTGAAATCTACAAGAGTCAAGGGGTACAGGTCAGTGCTGGTTTTGGCAGCATTCATAAGAATAAAAGCATATCAATATTCATTTTGGAAAGGGTAGCATATTTATGGATCTCCTTTGGTGATTAATAAAAAAAAAGCTGTTTTTATTTAAAATCTGATCGCAGTTTAGAATTGCAACAAGAAATCCTATCTCCAGCTAGAATTGCCATACTGTGCTCCCTAAAGTGACTGTTGTGCATTGTGCAGAAACAGAGCTTTCAGAAAAGAGGAGCCATCTGCCGAGGATCATCAGGCAATATACTGATCGAGTCTTCTGCTTTTCCGCACAGCATACACAACATGGTGTATTCCTGGAGTAAGAGGGGAGAAATAGTCAGCATTGGAAGGATATGATTACTGACTACATGTTAAACACTATTACTGTGAAATGCAGTTTGAAACTGAAAATTTTAAACAGGACTTCCAAGACTCTCCTAATGAAATCAAAACAAGAAATGAATGCACATAGGTCAATTCCTGAAGAAAACACTTACCACTTAGTTGATCATAGAATGGCCAAATACTAAAGTATCATTAAGCTATAAGAAAAAGTAATTCCAGAGGGAATTTGTTTCAGCGCACTTAACAAGTGATGCATGTCGGTTAAATCTAAAAATAAAAGCAGCACTCGAAAGCCTCCCCATAGAAAAAAAAGACATTATTTCAGTTCAGTGAAAGTGTAGTAACTAGAAAAAGGATTCTGATGCACTACTAAAAGTTTTACAAGTGCCCTTACTAACTAACTATCTCCTTCTCCTTATGGGGGAACACATGAATTCGGAAGAATAAGCCATTCAGACCCTTGATCCTACACTGTCATTCAATAAGATCACAGCCGATCTGATTAGTCCACCTTTCCACCTATCCCCCAACAAACGTTCACCCTCGGATTATCAAGAACGTATCTATCCCCGCCTTAAAAATACTCTCCTTGCACCACCTTTTGAGGAAGAGACTTCCAAAGATTCTCAACCTTGTAACAAAAAAATTCTCATCACCTCTCTTAAACGGACAACCCTTTATTCTTAAACGCTGACCAAAAGCTCAAGATTCACTCAGAAAAAGAAACACCCTTTCCACATGTACAGTCAACCTCCCTCAGGATCTCATATGTTTCAATCAAATCGCATCTTGCTCTTCTAAATTCCAGACAAACCAAGCCTACCTACCCTTTTCTCATCAGACAATCTGCCCATTTCAGTTCATAGTCCAGTAAACCTTTTCTGAACCTCTTCAACCATATTTACACCCTTCCTTATATAAGGAGACAAATACTGTACATAATACTCCAGAGGCGCTCTCATTTTTGCCCTGTATGACTGAAGCACAAGATCCCCACTTTTGTATTCAACACCTTTCACAATACACAACAATAGTCTGAAGTTAAGAATACTTTGACCTTTCAAGTCCGAAAATGAAGAGAAACTCAAGTTTCTCAAGTTTCAAGTACCCTCAAACAATATATTGCCACTCTCTGGAATTTACATTATGCTCCCACTAAAGTATTGTTCTCGAGTACAAAGCCAGCCTTACTTAAATCAATACATTTTGGTCAATTATATAAAAAGATCACAACAGGATAATAAAGAATGTGGAAAGACATCAGTAGCTATCTGGACTTAAATGCAGTTAAGCCAGTTTAAAAGCTCTATGGAGAAGGAAACTCAGTGAAGCAAGGCTACCTAATCTTGCAAGCTTTCTCAATGCTTGTCTGATTTGGGAATGCAACTGAAACAAAACCACAACATTGAAGAAACTAAACAACAGCACTGCATGTGGTAGACTTGAAATTATTTTGAGAATTACAGCTTAAAAATAAAAATCACTGAATTGCCCTTACCTGGTAATCATCAACAACAGTGAATGTGTACTCATGTTGTGCTATAATATGGTGGCAATTTTGACAGACATCTACAAGAGATAATGGAACACAGATTATAGTTAAGAATGCAGCAAATGGACCTAGTTCAGAAATGGTGTTATACTGAAGCACAGTATACCAGTAACAGTAGATACCCGAGAGATCGTTATCACATAAAGCTTCAAAGTAAACCTTAAGTGGCAAATAAATGTCACTTGAAACCCCAGGAGAAAACTAGTGCCTTGAAATCACATTCTATATTGTACATTACTTGCTTGGAACTTTATTGACATGAATTTATTTTCAGAATTTTTCCCAATGGCAGCTGATGACGCATTGAAAGGTTAATGACTGTTACGAAAGCACTGCATGTTTACTGAGTGCCAGTCAAAAATTATTATACGTAAACAATGCACTTGGCATTCAATTATTTCACTACCACATAGGCATAGCCAGTGATTCTAATCTCTCCTCTCTGCATCTAAATAGCAAAGGAATAAAACTGGGAAAATCTGCAAGAACAAATTCAAAGCATGCAAGTTATTTGAATCTTCAAATTACATGACATTTATTAATATATCAATTAACGACTTAAAACATCTGGAACTATAGTCCAAACTCACTTCACCCCATAGAGAAAATAAATATCTGAATGTTTCCATCTTACTGCATAAAAGATGAGGATTTTCAGTTTATAAATAATCATGTTTTGTTTCAACCATTGGTCCACAGATTGAAAATCATTTTCACCAGTTTGGGGAATGATTGTACTCTTCAACATGCATAACACTTGCCAATTTCATATGTTGTATTATTTGAAGTCCATAGCCAATAACTTACGGTCATATGTAACAATTTCTTCTCCATCGTCATCATCTTGGGTTCGATTCGTAATGAGCACAAAGTCTCTTTTCCTGCACTCAGCACAACCCACATAATTTAACAGAAAAGATCCATTCTCCAAGCAAGTGTTACCCTGTATATGAATAAGAAATAAAAGTGGATTCACACATGAACTTCCTTGCACCTCTTATTTTTATAAATAGCCTTCCAATATGTCTAGTGTCCCAATCAGTGATGGCCCATTTCCAGGTCATTGGCAGTCCAATTCCAAAAGCAGCTATAATGGATTTGAATCTAAAGTAGAGAAGGTAACCAGATACAAAAAGTTTTCCCAATGAATGGTTTATAGACTTACAATGAAGGATTTATAAGTCTATAAACTGCACAACAGACACTAAGCATGATTCAGGTACAGTAAGAGTTGAGAAAGAAAACCTATGATTATAGGCCACTTGCTCAAAGGCTAACATCAATATGTTAATAAATAAAATAAATTCAAGTGCTGTAATTTTAAAGGAAAAGCAATAACTTGGAGGTTTCCACGTGCAAATCTTTGAGCGTAGCAAGATAGGTAAAGTTGTTCAAAAAGGTAACAGAATCCGTGGCTTTATAAACAGAATACAGCACAAAGGCAAGACGGTAATTTTAATACATTACAAAATCATTGGTTAATTTCAGCTCGTGTATCATTTCTTAAGGTCTTGGAGTTGGTACACAGGTTTTTTTTTAATTCATTCACATAACAGAGGCAACACTGGCAATGTTGGAGAGGTTTAATGAGAGAATCGGAATAGAGATCCTATGTAGCTGAAGGTATGCCCATCAACTGCAGGTCAAGGAAAACCTGAGAATGTGCATTTGAGGAGTGGAGTGATGTAGTTTACAGGTGGAAGGAGGCTGTAGTGATAGGGAGAGGTGGCGGCAGGAACATAGAGAAAACAAGAATAGATTTTTTTTCATGAGGGAGAGCAGTGACAACAACACTTGGACTGAACTTGGAATCCTTTTATCGTGTGGTTCAAGGAAAAAAAAAGTGCAGCATGGCAGCACAGTGGTTAGCACAGTGCCAGAAGACCTGGGTTCAATTCTAACCTTGAGTGACTGTGTGGAGTTTTCATGTTCTCCCTGTATCTGCATAGCTTTCCACTGGATTTCAATTTCCAGTTTCCTCCCACAGTCCAAACATGTGCAGGTTAGATGGATTGGCCATGCTAAATTACCCCGTAGTGTTGAAGGATAAGCAGGCTAGGTGGATTAGCCATGCTGGGTACAGGGGATGCTTTTGGGTGCAGACTCAATGGACTAAATGTCCTCCACCTGCACTATAGGGATTCTATGATATGGATGGTTTTGGATGAACTGAAGTATAAACAAGTGGAGTTCTAGGTTACATTAAAATCCATTTTCCAAGAATTTCCAACTACAATCTGCTCCATCTGAAGCTATCCCGTATATAAAGTCATAGAGTCACACAGCACGGAAACAGACCTTTCAGTCCAACTCACCCACGCTGACAAGACATCTTAATCTGATCTGGTCCCATTTGCCGGCATTTGGCCCATATCCCTCTAAACCCTTCCTATTCATCCAGGTGCTTTTCAAATGTTGCAATTCTACCTGCTTTCACCACTTCCTCTGGCACCCTCTGCCTGAAAGTTACCCTTCAGGTCCTTTTCAAATCTTTTCCCTCTCACCTTAAACCCATGCCCTCTAGTTTTGGACTCCCCTACCCTGAGAAAATGACCTCGGCTATTCATCCTATCCATGCCATTCATGATTTTATAAACCCCTATAAAGTCATTCCTCAGCCTCCGACGCTCAAGGGAAAAAAGCCCCCACCTATTCAACCTCTCCCTATAACCTAAACCATCCAGTTCTGGCAACATCCTTGTAAATCTTTTCTGCATCCGTTAAAGTTTAACATCTTTCCTACAGCAGGGAGACCAGAATTGAACGCAATATCCTAAAAGTGGCCTTACCAATGTCTTCTACAGCCGCAGCATGATGTCCCAACTCCTTTACTCAACATTCTGACCAATGAAGGCAAGCAAAATAATTGCCTTCTTCACCACCCTGTCTGCCTGCTCCTCCACTTTCAAGGAACTATGCACCCCACGTCTCTTACTCGGCAACACTCCCTATCATTAACTTTACATGTCCTGCCCTGATTTGCCTTACCAAAATGCAACACCTCCCATTTATCCAAATTAAACTCCACCTGCCACTCCTCGGGCCATGAGCCCATCTGATCAAGGTCAAATTGTACTCTGAGGCAACTTGCTTCGCTTTCCACGACACCAACCATTTTGGCGTCATTTGCAAAATTAGTAACCATGCTTGCTATATTCAGATCCAAGTCATTTATATAAAAGACGAAAAGCAATGGACCCAGCACCAATTTTTGTGGCACACCACTGGTCACAGGCTCCCAGTCCGAAAAACAACCCTCTAACACCACCCTGTTTCCCATCTTCAAGCCAATTTTGTATCCAATTGGCTGGCTCCCCCAGATTCCATGTGATATAACCTTACATGTTTAATTCTCTTCTTAGAAACAGACTTCTATTGAAGAATTTTGACTTCCACATCCATCACATTAGTTCAAGATAAAATTATGTTAACATCAAAAGCACAAGACCAACTTGATACCTAAATGTTATTTGACAATGTTACCTACAGGTATAGCACTGGAGTTCTGTGGCTGCTCACTGTTTTAAAAATATTGTAGACTGATGCACAGGCTCGAGATAGAATTATCATACAGGTGGGGAAGATAACTTCCTGAAACAACCTGATTAAAAATCAGGTAAGTTGATACCTCGGTTGCATGACACATGCAGTTCAGACATCACTGTAAATTACAAAGGGAGATTCAAACTTTTTATGACATTATTTGAAAGAAATGTCATAGTCTGCATTTTATGCAGTGATCTTTCTTTCAATTGAAATTGTACTCACCTTGACGCAAGACTTCATTGAGAGTAGCATCCCTCAAGCAACTTACAAAGGAAACAATCAGGTGTTAACTGCAGACTGAAGGCCTTTTACTACACAGATCACCTCAATCATATTGCATTCTGCCCTCAACCAACATCCAAAAAAAAGTCAGGTCTAAGTCAGCAACTAATATGCTATTCTGAGCACCCTACAAATAGAAACTTTGCAACACACCATTACATTTAAAAATTTACTGCAACAAAGCACCTATCTCAAAATTTTCTTACATGAGAGGAGCAAATGCATGGTAGCCAACTTCACAAACACCACCAAGGTAGGTATTAGTAAGTTGTAGATGGATATGGATAGTACAAGTGAGTGGACAAAGACGGGCCATAGCATAAAATGCCAGATGAAATATAATATCAAAATAATCACCACCGCAGGAAGAAATCTTACCTAACTGGAGAATGACTGTGGAATTCCAAGATACAAAGTGATTTAGGTGTTCTGGTATATGAACCACAAAATTTAAGTATGCACACACAGCAAGTAATGAAGAGGCTAACGATGGTAACCTATATTATAACAGGAATTCAGCATAAAAGTAAAAAGCTTACACTTCAGTTATATAGGGCATTGGTGAAACCACATCACAGAACTGTTAGAGTGCAGAAGATGATCAAAGTCGATTATGCTACACTACACATTCTTATTTCTACTTTCCAATCTTGCAAAGCAAGTTTACCAATTTCTGTTTTTTTTAATTCATTAACGGGATGAGGGTGTCGCTGGCTAGGCAGCATTTATTGCCCATCCCTAATTTCTCAGAAGGCAGTTCAGAGTCAACCACATCGCTGTGGGTCTGGAGTCACATATAGGCCAGACCAGGTAAGAATGGCAGTTTCCTTCCCTACAAGATATTAGTGAACCAGATGGGTTTTTCTGGCAATTGACAATGGATTCATGGTCATCATTAGATTCTTAATTCCAGATATTTTATTGAATTCAAATTCTACCATCTGCCTTGGTGGGATTCGAACCCATGTCCCCAGAAAGTTAGCTGGGTCTCTGGATTAACAGTCCAGCAATAATACCACTAGGTCATCGTCTCCCCTGATGAGGAATAAAATATCAAATAAGTCACCTTCACAGGAAGTAGCCTTACTTAATTGATAAATGATTGGAGAATTCCAAGGTGCAAAGGGATTTAGGTGTTGAGGCCACAAGAGTTTTACACCGAGACCCATCTCTGCTCAGACTCTCAGTTACGACCCTCAGAGTGACTTCCATTGCATAGGAGTTCAATAGTCCTCTGGATGAAAAAGCTGTCTACCAACTCCCCAGAGAGATTTTCAGTCCATATACATTCCTAATGTGTAACCCTTAAAAATACTTAGTTCGAAATAATCTGGAATTTTTTTATTCGTTCATGGGATGTGGGCATTACTGGCTGGCCAGCATCTACTGCACATCCTCCTGGAGCAAGTGGTGGTGAGCTACCTTCTTGAACTGCTGCAATCCACTTGCTATAGGGTGACCCACAATGCTGTTAGTGAAGGAATTCCAGGACTTGGACCCAGTGACAGTGAAGGAACGGCGATATATTTCCAAGTCAGGATGGTGAGGGGCTTGGAGGGGAACTTTTAAAGTTTTGGTAGAGATTTG